GTCTAAGGACAAAGGGTTTTTGTACTGATTGTAAAAGCCTCCTGAGTCGATTTGGGATTTTGGGCTTGCCATGAATGTGCATGAATGAAAAAAATTAATAACACGAACACCAATTATTACGGTGGTTATAAAACTGAATCATGATGCAGCATCAAAAAACAAACAAAGGGTGCTTTCATTACCCCTCTCTTCTTAGTTTCGCCCAACGATATTCTTCCTCACTGCAGTCATTTTCTGTAGTCAGCACAGAAATACCAACAGTTTAAAAGAAAACAACACTTGAAACATGATGACCGCTGCTCCAATTACACTGATTATAGATCGGTTGTGACATCAGGGTGTCTGAATGTGAGAGACAGAAATAACACCAATAGACAATTAAAATGAGTTTATCACAGAATCAGAGCAGATGTGAGGGAGCAATTAAAATGCTGTATAAATGCTGTGAACAAAATATATTGCTTGTTCTTGAGAGGCTATACGTCAGTCTTTTTGAGCATCTGCTGATATATTAATAACTGCAATTGTGCAGCTGTATAGGACAAATAAATAGAACAAGACAAGAAATACAAGAGATGAAATGCCAGAGAGAAGTTTCATGGGTGATAATGAAAAAGAAAACATGGTTGGTGTTTCAGGATCCACTGATTCAGGGAACAAACACACTAATATTTATTTTAGGAATAAATGTAGGTGCTGTTATTTCTGTGTTCTCTATCCACTCTATTGGCATTATGTAATAAACATTTTCCTTTTGCTGTCCCATCAGATCAGCTGATCAATCATTTAATAGATTCTGAAAGTAGGGCTGTTGCCGTCCGGTAAAAACGTCTGCATACACGTGCGGTTCGTTGCTCCAAGCTCCTCGTCTCCTCCAAGATGCATGTAAGAGATTGGAACATCCTAGATGATAGCGAACTTTGATCAATATCAGTGTGACGGCTGGCGGATGGAGCAGCAAGGAGGGGAAAGTACCCTAAAAGTGACCACAGAGGTCCTGAAGCTGTTATAGGTCAGACTGCAACTTGATCTCACAAATAATTAAGCTAAACTAAGCTAATGTCACACGCAGCACGCAGAGGTATAAAACAAGGCAGACGCTAGCATGACCCATTATATACACCACTTTTCCTTTGAATTCAAACTTTTAAACTGTCCCCCTGAAGAATTTTCTAATCTGTTGTGAATTTCTAATTGTGTGAGTCAATGCGTGTAAAAGTAAAAACCTGCTCAGTCAACATAACAGAGGTTAAATTCCCCGGTAGCTGTTACTCCCTGTCAGATGTGGTGTTGCAGGGTTATTGATCAAGAGAAACGAGGACTGAAGGTTACATCCTGCCTGTGTGTGTTTATTTAGCCTACAGTGAGGAGGAGAGCATGTCCTCCGAATGCCAATTAAGCCGGTGATGGTCAGATCATTGTCACGCCGCGCTGATGACTGGCAGGCCTGACAAGCTGGCTGAGCTGCGCATGTGGTTGCTTTAATTAATTGCCAGCGGCTTGGCTACACGTGGGCGGACGGAGCGAATATGGATGTCGACGGAGAACAGCATTCACGCTTCGGATAATTCTTTGTGAAACAAAGGGTGAGAAATTGAGGCAGATTAAAGCTTCGCTGCTCTCCGACAGAATGAAGTGGGTTTTTTTGGTGTTGTTCCATGCGATTGATCTCAGATGCACAATTCACTGGTTTCTGCAGAGAACTTTGTCCGTGTGTGACGAACAACGAAATGTACAGCATTTATCTGAGGGTAAGCTAAAGGTTAGCTTTACTCTCCCTGGAAAAGTGTCTCCTGAACAAACACACACCACTGTATTTGAACCAGCGGGGCCACTGCAGCTCGGCGTGTCCCGTGGGCTGAGCCAGATTTAGGCACCAAAAGTCAACATTAGCATTTCAGAGGCCATTTCTATTTTCATTAACTCAATCTTAACTCAAGATTTCCCAAACTCCCCAGGAGCCTGGAGCAGTATCAGGCATTTATGGGCTCCAGGGGAGGGGTTGCCATTTCAGAGCCTTGATGCATCACAAATTTAAATTCATTATCCTCCATAATTAAAGCAAATATATCAAAGACTGCTTACACTGCAGGGATACTGTCAGTGAACTCCAGAGGGACCGAGGCTCAGGCTTGCAGCCCAGGTGGCTTCTAAGATATTCAAACACACACACACACACACACACACACACACACATTTACATATATGTATATATATATATATATAGCATTGTGTGTTCAGGGTTCCTTTTAATAATTTAACTCAAAACTGTGAGACATCAAAATCGTCTTCCTGCAAAATGTAATTGCCACTACTTTTAATTATACTCTGGTCACCACATTTAATTATAGTGTTCAGTCTGATGGCAGTGAAATAATTTTTGCAGAAAATCAGGGCTCCTTCGCAGACAGATGATTGTTATAATACTCCTGTAGTACTCTCAGAGGAACAATAAGCATGGATCTGTGCTACCAATACTGACTTTATTTTATTATCTCCATTGAGGAATTGGGAATAAAGCAATGTTCTACTCTTATCTGGTCTATTGTATTAAATAACATCTTTTCATTTTACTAGCAGAGTACTTTATTTTTAAAGCCAAGGGTTGTTACACCTCAAGACTAAAATACATGAATCCCTTGTCTGTGGTTGAGTGACAATCAGTCCAAATAAGGCAAATCTGTGCCTGGCTTGACTTGTCACATGGAAACACTTTCACATTTCTTTGTGGCTGCCTTTGCAGCCACACACTACAAAAAGTAACCATCTTAAAAGGTCATTATAGACTTTTAGATCCCCATTTTAGCCATCAAGGTGGTGCTCAATGGCACTGGTATATACATTCCTCTGATTTTCCTTTGAGGACGTTTGAGTTTGAATTTTATCAGTGTTGGCCATGACTGCTCAATTTAACCACTTAAGGCTGCAGTCGGTAACAATTTAACATACAATGCAAAACCTTCTGCGTCTCTCTCCGCTGCTCGTATCATTCTGCTAAGCCCCGCCCACTAAATCCAGAAGCTGGAGCTGGTTGCCCTGCGAAACCTCATCCCAGGTAAGGCTCACTCTCCATGGTGAGTGTCGCAAAGACCCCAGTCCCTGTTGCCGCTACTTCTCAAAGGCGTCCTTCCAACGCTTTAATAGTGGCTGTGAGGCTAGATATTCTCCACTGTTTGTCATCATGCTTCTTTGTCACTCGCTGAAGATATTCACTGCAGGTAATACTATGGATAAATACCTCACAAAGCCCCTCTTCAAAAAATAGAACTATCCCCTTTAAACGTGTCAAATGGAAATAGGTGTGCTTACCTCAGTCTACAGGAAGAGTATTTCGCTTGTTTTTTTTAAAGAGAAAAGGCTTTAAATGTGCACATTCTGCAGTATGTTGAGCAAAATGTTCTTGTTGTTTTGTTTCAAATGTTCCAAAAATCAAATGTGCCTTGTGCATAATCTTGTAGTTTCATAAATTTTACATTCTTGGTTGCAGCTGGAGTTGGAATTGGAGCACCTTGCTTCCTGAGATTGAACATCAGTGAGTTTGTTCTGCATGGATTATTTGACGACAGCTACAATGTGTTAACATACAAAAGCTTTCTAAACCTTGTTTAATGAATTAACCATTAAAAGTGTATTTAATGACCTCATTAACCGTTATTCTTCACATCACAATGACACAAGCCTCCTAATGTGGATGAATGATATTAAAACAGGCAGGAAGTAAAAGCAGTCCACTCTGTAAGGGTTAGAGCTGGTGAAACTTGGGCTTCGTATGTAGATGGGGTCATGGAAGACTTGTAAGATTAAAATATATATATCTGTTTGATATGTCTCTAAAGATTCTCAATCATCCAGTCACACAAGGAAGGTTTAAATCAAGGGCAAGTGGACTTGGTTGAAGATACTTGAAGAGGTTAAATCATCCAAGAGGCTTCTTCAGAGGCCGTCTGAAGAAGAAACGTCTTCAAGTATCTTCAACCAAGTCCACTTGCCCTTGATTTAAACCTTCCTTGGATCTGTTTGATATGTTTTCTATTAAAATGCATTAAATGTGAAATATATCACCATTCTCAATATTCTGACTGAAGCTCCTCTTATGCTTTTAAAAATAGAAGAAACACTCACATTTAAAGCTCTCTGTGCTGTAAGTCCGCAGCCCCGCCTCTTTTCACAGGGGCCTTATGTTGGCTTGGCCTTTCAAAGGTGGATGTTGAATTGAAAGGAGCGTTGGTTATGGTGAGGGTAACAGATATTGCTCTTTGCCCCCTTATAAGGGCAGGGGGCAGACTTGAGGAAAGTGAAGTGGAGTTTTTATATGATACAGTAAAGATTATGTGCTAAAATCACAGTAGGGCAGCACTTGAGCTAACCAGAGGGGCATTGGAAAGGTACTCGGGTGACAAAAGGGGCATTTGGGGTGACCAGAAAGACAATTGGACCAACCAGTGGGGTATTTGGGCTGATTGGATCAATCAGAGGGACAATTTGTGTGACAGGACAGGCACTTAGTGACCAGAGGAGTGCTTGAACCAGCCAGAGGGGCATTTTGCCTGAAGTGACAAAAAAAAGTACCAGTTCTTACCTTATTCACATTTCAAGCACTTTCAGTCACTTTGTTGACCAAAGGGGCATTTTTACAGACCAGAGCACTGTTTGGGTCAACCAGCAGGGCATTTGGGTTGATCTAAAGGCATGATTGGACCAATCAAAGGGGCATTAAAATAACAAGGAAGAAGTGAGAAGGACTTTTGGACAAACAGTTGGGTGGCATGTGGGCAGCCACAGGGGAGTCAACCAGTGGGGGAATTTGGACAACAAGAGGGTCATCTGGTCCTCACATGTGCCTCTCTATTGCAGTAGGGCAAACATAAAGCATGGACATGTAGGGTAGCCTACAAAGCACAATATGGGCAGGCTGTGCGCCTCTGTGCGCGCCTCTGACGCGACTTTAAAAGTGTGTCAGACCACAAAGCCATGTCAGGATGGACATTTTTTGCAGCGCAGTCAGAGCCACCAAAGCCAGCGGGGAGCAGCGGTGCAGCAGGACTCTTCGCTGCCTGCTCGTGCTGCTCAGCGCCGGCCAGACCTCACAACACATCACACCCCAGCCTGCGGCGAAACGGCTTTATTATCACCGTGTCACCCGAAGCCTGTAGGGTGTGTAGATACCTTTTTGACTGTCTCCTACTGTGAGAGGGCGTATCCGCGTTCAGAGAGAGGCCGAGCCAGTAAAGGGCGAGCGGAGGGAGTGGGAGGGCTTTTCGCTGTTTTGAAACATAGGAAGAAAACAGCGAACAGCCACGCCGCCCACTAAACAAGGCGAAGCGCGCATCAACAATTTCACAGCCGCTGCTGCTGCTGCTGCCCCGATTAAACGCACGGAGGAGTGGATGAGTGCAGACACCCAGTGACAAGAGCGAGGGCTGCTTCTGTGATCCTACAGAGGAACTAACAAAAGGTGAGCTCTAGATTTCTCCTCCGTTTTAAAATGATGATTTATTGCATGGAGTCTGGCTGAAAGGCTACGGAGTGTTGAGGAAACGCAACAAAGTTATTTTCTAAGGTGAGGATCGCTTTGTTTCGCCGTGAAAGGTGGGAGCAGCATCCCTTCCCGGTTGGGCTTTGTCTGCACACTTTTGCATGTGCATTGTGTTCAGTCAGACATGCAAAGCGAATGCATGATTTAGGTGTAAGTATTTGAATAAACATTTAATTCCAGGAGTCTGTAACCTACTTTGATTAACGCTGCTTTTAATTATGTTTAAATTAAACATTTTCTTTAGTTTTATACCCACTCATTTCTTACTTGACCCCTAATCTTGGGGTCCACAGACATTGTTTTTCTTTAAATGAATCAATATGCTCCTTTTGTTGTCTCACTATCAGACGTCCTTTGTGTTGTTATCTGAATTCCTGCCACCCATCGTTAGAGTGATTGGCTCCTCTTAAAAACCAATAAAGCAAACTTTTAGCGTTACCTTATGCAGTCTTATAAACACAAATTAGTGCTTTTTGTTATTTATATTTATAGAGACCCCCCCCCAGTATTATTTATCAGATGCATCTTTAGTTTCACCCACCTCTAGAGTGGAAGTGCAGGGCGATACTGAAATGTAAGTGGCTTGTTCCCTCCCTCTCCGGTGTGTTTTCAGAAGCAGAATTAGAATTGATGAGGGCTCCAGCTGTGCCACAGGCCATGCATGTTCTGATGAAGCACTTGTTGTTTTTAGTTTTGTGAAATGCCAAAGAGAAATGGGTCAGGAGGATTTCCAGCAAGAAGGCGGGAGATTGTTTAATGAAGCTGTGCATTCTGTTTGCTGTTAATGTAAATTTGAAGTTGTGGGCCTTCTTCCTCCATTCATTTTAAAAACCTTGTAATCCCCCTGCTTTATTTTTTTTAAAAGATTGATTTGCTGCTGCTGGACTTTATCCAACATTTAAGATGTGTCAACTCTTACTTAATTCTGGGCTAACTTAATTGCCTGCAGGATTACTGTGTTCGCATGAGAGATTATGTCGGTATGATTTTTTTTTTCTGTGAGCAGTAAACCTGGTCTGTGAGCTGTTTCCTCCTTGTCTCGAAAATTATTTCCTGCTGTGGGTTTTACACTGATGATGACATACAGTAGACGGTGGCCATTGTATGTGTGCTTACAGCTGTATAGATGGCGACTGTTCAGTCTCACTGCAGCAGCCTTTAGCATGGTGTTCTACTGATTTCTTTAGTTTGTATACAACAACACAATGATGCAAGTGTGTGTTCAGATTAGTCTGTTAATCAGTTAGTTGACAGAAAAGATATGACAGCCTTTGTCTATAGTCTGTTTTTGTTAATGAATACCTTGTTTGGTGTTAAGTTTGGACAAAACAAGGAGTCTAAAGACCAGATTAACCAGCTTGGTGGGGATTGGAGCCCTGAATTCCCCCCGGTTCATCCCACTCTTGTGCAATGTATATGGCCCTCTTTCAATGCTGTAACACTCTTGACCCCAGATTATGCTGTAAATTCATTTTATTCAAGTCAGTTTAGGAAGATGTCAGCACAAGATGTAGAAATGAAGGTGTTAAAACAAAACAATTGACATAGTTTTTTAAATAATTGAACCTCAAGATCAGATAATCAAGCATGACCCTACCAATTTTACACATCAAGATCAATTTACTCCCTCATGGGGAGTACTACTCAATCTGTGTATGTGAAAACGGGTCGTGTATTTTCTTGGCTTTGGCAAGGAAACCTTACATTTTTAATGAAAGCCTGAGGGCATGGCGTTTGAAAGTCGTGGGCCAGGCATAGGCGGTTTAATAAAAAATGCTGGTCAGTTGCATTATGGAAAATGTAGGATTAAGGGTTTTTGTAGCTTGACCAATTATACTGACTAAAAATCGAGATTTCACAACATATGCAACAGTTTTGACTGTTGTTTTCTTTCATCTGTGATTTATTAATCCCCCAACTTCATGGAAGAAGAATACTAATACCTCCTATAAAGACTTGGCAGTTGATTTTTTCTTCAGTGCTGCATATCCCCATACAAATGTTTGTTTAAATTAACATTTAAACCAGTTGACACACAGTATGCATGGAGCTTTTGGGGCCCAGGGTGTTCTTAGACTCTGGGGCAGTTGGGCATTAGATGTGGCTGTTTGGATGTTTTCAGTCAAGCTTATGCTTTTTTTCGTGTGAAACAATGCCATCATTAATGTCAACATGTGCATGAGATTTACAGTGTTTGCCAAGTGCAATAGCTGAACAGGGATCAGCGTTGATGACTCACGAGGAGACGATGTAGTAACTTGTACAAACAGGTCCATGTGGTTCAGGAACAACGAGTTCGCAGGAGGACAAGTAGTTACCCTTAACATAAGAGTTTAGACATTCAGACACATTGCACTTCCATCACCAAGAGATATAAAAATGAATTCATGCAGAGCACATATACACTTTGTATTCTTTGGATCGAACTATTGAACAGAAGGTTGATATTTCTGCATTTGCTTTGTTAAAGTTCTCACTGAGCTGAGTTCCCCTAAACAACAGTCACATGAGTTACGGTAACTTGTCAACCAGCCAGGTTAGAGAATTTGGCAACAAGACTCAGGCAGTCAAAACAAATCTGATTGCACTCTGCACTTTTAAGTGAAATGAAAGAACAGACAGAGAAGAAGCTGGATTTTATCCATAAAACCATTGCCTGTTATTGCTCCCAATTCTTGGGCGACAACTCACATCTTCACAGTCCAAATGGCATTGTTCTTACCAGAGCAAATATACCTAACAAAATAAGTGTTCAATCTAACCTACCCGTAGATTTGGGCTCGCAGTCATTTAAAAGCTGCTGAGGCGTTTCACTAAAACATTGTGGTCTTTGCGTCATGCAAAATGTGGAACAACATGAGAACGAAGGTCCAGAGCTGCAAAGAAATTGCTATCTCACTTATTCAATTGCATCAGTTTAATTTGCACAAGTTGTTAAAACAAGATAAGGAACTTTACTTGTGCAAGATCATAAAGCACTTTGTATGTAAGGAAAATATATTATGAATGCCTGAATAAAGGCAACACATCAGACTTTTCTGAAGGGATGATTTTGTTGACACTCTATTAGAAGCCATTTGGTCCTTTTTGAGGATGTATAATTGTGAGAGACTGGCCACTGGCTTACACATGCTAGGATAGGCTCCAACTCTCTCATAACACCTCAGCACGATAGAATATGTGGCCAAAAGTATGTGGACAGGGTGTACGTCTGTGCTACCTGTGACTGCTTCCTGTTTCAACTTGATAATGCAGTAGGTTCAACATCTGGTGGAAACCAGAAGAATGGAGGCTGTTATAGTATCAGATTTATGCCCGTTGTCTTGGAATTACATGCTCAACAATCACATTTGGGTGTAATGTTTAGGTGTACATATACTTTTGGACATATATTGTTAGAAAATAACACATGGAGAGATGGAAATGTAGGATTAAGGGGTTTGTAGTTTGACTGATTCTAGTGACTAAAAGTCAGGAATTCACAGCATATGATGCAACGGTTTTGACTATTGTTTAATCATTGTTGTCTGTGTCTTGTTAATCCTCCGATCCATAGACAGAGGAATGTTTAAAGTAAATAAATATCCAGTTTGACCCACTTTTCTCCCAGGTGGAATTCGAACATCTTAATTTGCAATATATTTGTTTCACTCCTTATACTTAAAACCAACACGTTTAGTGTGTATTATATTAGTAAAAGTGACTTTTTTTGCGTTTCTCTGCCCTGCTGTAAATGTTTTTCCTGGTGTCCTTGAAAAACTTAAACAAATTAATAGAATTCAGCCATCGCAACCAGTGCGACTTAATCTCTTGGGGAATATGTCACTTTGTATCACCTACACTAACCAATATTTACTTGACTTTATCTAACAGCTGCCTGATACCTTGTGTGAACGGTCAGAAAGAATGAAGATAAACATTGCCTTTGTGTTTGCTCAGTCACGTAGCTTTAGACACGATCACAGCTTGAAAATTGTACTTAAGAGTTTAACTTGTTTTGGCATCATATTCCAGCCTTTTTTTTCTCTTTCTATCACTATAGAGGGATGTGAGATGCAATTAGGCATTCAAAAATGTTGCATATATATATATATATATATATATATATATATATATATATATATATATATACACTGACTACTGTTTAGTTTTTTTTTACTTTCCCACGACAATGCTCAACACTTCACTGGATTCAATTTTCTTTATCGCTGAATATTTTGAATATCGTAAAACTTAAATTAATAGCTGAGCCTTAACTAGCCACCTACCCCATTTATTGGCCTGGTGTGGGAGCACAGTTGGACAAATAAACGCAGGTCTCCATTAAACGCCTGGTCTGGTATTAATAGAAGTTGTTCGGATGTATAAAACCTCTTTAACCAGCCGGCTCGCCTGCTTTACCGGCTTCTAAGCTGCTTAGATGTTAATACAAATATTAATGTTTAAATGTATACTGACCAAAATTATAAATGCAACACTTTTTTATTTTTTCCCCCCATTCATCATGAGCTGAACTCAAAGATCGAAGACTTTCTCTATGTACACAAAAGGCCTATTTCTCTCAAATATTGTTCACAAAGCATAATCTGTGTTAGTGAGCACTTCTCCTTTGCCGAGATAATCCATCCACCACAGGTGTGGCATATCAAGATGCTGATCAGACAGCATGGGTATTGCAAAGGTGTGCCTTAGGCTGGCCACAATAAAAGGCCACTCCAAAATGTGCAGTTTCATCACGCAGCACAATGCCACAGATGTCGCAAGTTTTGAGAGAAATAGGCCTTTTGTGTACAAAGAAAGTCTTAGATCTTTGAGTTCTGCTCATGATGAATGGGGGCAAAAACAAAAGAGTTGCATTTATAATTTTGTTCAGTGTAGATCAATATGTCTGTATGGACATGCTACACATCGTTAGATTG